ACAAGTAAACCATAGCTTTCCCTAGAAGACTTGAACCTGAAGACCAAGGAAAAGAACACCATTCTTCTGAATGTAGTTGCCCAAGAAGAGTTGGACAAGCCGGCACAACCTCTTCGCATGCAAATTTGGAGAATTGGAAGCTGAACACACTAAAGAGTAGGGCGTCTAGTACTTTCCCGATGAGTACCGGTGGAATAGGGAGTACTGAAACTTGAGTAGGGTGTCTAGTACTTACCCGATGAGTACTGGTGGAATAGGGAGTACTGAAACAGGTTTCAGCAACTCCATCCATGGCTAAGCACCTCTAGGACAAAGGAGCATGACACAACTTCTTCTACTGAATTGCACAAACTGTGGGTAAAACTTGACAGTGGGACAAGCCCGACCGCTCGTCGGACCCCCATCCCCTAACTGGTGATGGTGACTCCAGAGACGGAGAGGACAAAGGGTCCGATGAGCAAAGGAAAGAAAGAACTGGAGAGCTCTCTTGCACTGTTCAAGCAAGGAGAGAGAAAGAAAGGATCTTTCATCCTTGTGTTGACGTGTAGAATCAAATGTCCTTGCTTGCAGTTTATTTTCTAGCATATACGCCATAGGTCATAGCCAACGCCACGAAGTGCACGCTGCGCCAACTGATGCTTGATTGTAGTGGTTAGGACTGCGGGGGATGGGATTAAAAGGCTATCTGAATTATAATGACATTTGATTTGGATATATCTGAATTCGGTTTGAAGTTATCCATCTGGATGGTTTTTTCTTCTCTACTCATTTCCATATTTGTAACCATGGCAAAAAGCATAGGTGCTAATTTTGCAAAGACCTTTCGTTATAAATGAACTGGAATAATTGTTATTTTCTAGCGTACACGCCATAGGCCATAGCCAACGTCACGGAGTGCATGTTGGTCCATCTGATGCCAGATGCCATCTGGACTGTTCTTTCTTCGCTACTCGTTTCCATATTTGTAACCAACATAAAAATCATCCTTCTAATTTTGCATAAACCTTTTCTCGTAAATGAACTAGAATCATAGTTATTTTCTAGCTTATACGCTGTAGGCCATAGCCAACACCACGGCCCATCTGTTGCGCCAACTGATGTCTGATGGTGGTGGGTAGGACCGTGTGTGGATGGGATTAAAAGGCTATCTGAATTATAACATCTGATTTGGATATATCTCAATTCGGTTTGAAGTTTTTCATCTGGATGGTTCTTTCTTAGCTACTCGTTTCCATATTTATAACCAACATAAAAAGCATATGTACTAATTTTGTATAGACCTCTTGTCATAAATGAACTGGAATCACTGTTGTGAGGCAGCAAATGCCAACTTTGAATTTGAATAATGGAATTTCAGTCGAATTTAAATCTTGAGTATCTTAATCTAGCTTGGCAAAGAATGGTGGCGAAAAACCTCCTGAAATTCATCCTTAAATGAGAGAACCAAGCAGGATTATTTTTATACATATATTCCCTCCGTACTATAATAGCCATCTTTAGCTGTGAAAAAATAAACATCTTGTATTATTGTCTGTTCTATATGAATCTGAACTGAGCCGTAGCGAGTGAATATACTCACTGACAGGGTTATGGATACCACATACCTAATAGTAGTTGACTAAGCTCGGCAGGGCCCACCATATACCATGTCTTATATGGAATCATACCTCGTATATAGAAGGAGTTCCAGGTAAGGAAGGACAAATAGAGTTCCATATGGAAACGACAAGGACTACCCGGATTGTATCCATATTGGTCTCCCTAGTTCTACTTGGACAAGGGGGCATCTATGGGTATAAATACAAGCCCCCCTAGGAGGAGAGGGGACATACCAACAAGCCACAAGACATACTGATCAATATAAGCCAACACACGCCAAGACAAGCCGCCGGATATCGATATCAGAGATAAGCCTAGACAAACCAAATATGATGTCTGTGGAGGCCAACAAGAGGGATCTAGTGCTATCTCTGATCTCGCCTAGTGCGGATTCAAGGAGGAAGACTACCCTTTTGTCGACTACGAGTTGGTTATCCATGCCGCCAAGTCGACGACAACTAGATAAGTTATTCCAATTATTGTACTGGTGTGATTATGATGAATAAGAGCAACACCGGCTTCGGCCAACAGGAGTAGGGCTATTACCTATCAGTTAAGGGGCCCGAACCTATATAAAAATCCTTATCTCCATCTCTTTTACCTCAATCTCACGTATACCCTAGTACCAATGATCCCATACTATGCAAAATACCGTAGTCATGATCTCAAACGTCGACAGTGGCGCACCAACTAGAGGAGTTTTGGTGCTTCAAGGTTTCGACGAGATGGGTTTAAGAGATGGATTCTCCAACAACAAGCTACTCGACGACTTCGGCTGTGGGGAGTCTACCTCGACCGGAATATGTCTTCCGACGAGATCGGAACCATCGTCGTCAACAATTTGATCTATCAAGATCATCCAAGCCTCAAGATACGGGGCGTACCTACATATGTCAGATTATATGATATCAAACGAGTACGCAACAAGGTAATTGGCAGATTGGTTTTTTAAATTAATCTACTAATTTCATAGATACATCCAGCATGTATTTACAAAGATACGCAATATTCTATATACAATTTACTGTACCTATTGTTCAGATTTATACAATATTGTCAGATCCATAATTTATTATCTTTACCTAGAGCATGTTTTTTATACAATATCTATTGTGCGAGTGTGCCTGATGTTTGGCCGACTATGGTTTAATGCTGGTTTAATGCTGGGCGCTCGCTCTATTTTCTTCTATATAAATCATGCTTGTTTACAATTTACATGATGTCTGATATTTAGTCTGCTCGTTATATCCTTATAATACTAGATGATTCACGCAGTATTTTGAGTACATACTCGATATTCTCTGCTGTATATATCTTGTCTTCTAGATAACGTTTTTCAGGGACAATTTAGCACTCGAGTAGGTTGTGGTCGAGTACACCCATTATCGAGAATGTTATCGACAAATGCAGAGTTGTCGCACCCAACCTGCCAACGAAGCTCGACGACCTACCTCATGTATAGCGACGGCCACGGCTCGACTATTTGAGAATAGGGTTTTAACAGATAATTCCTCGCAAACTTTCTCAACTTGATCACCCGATATGATTGTGAACAGACATCCGGATATGCTATAAGTTGGGTATGTGAGTCATGCTGGCCACATGAGATGCACATGTAATAACGAACTCTAGCACCCCTATAGGTAATTAAGAGATGCCTAGTGTCACGCCCAGAAATTCACTAGTAATTTCCGAACATATTTGTGCATAAAATCCTCGTCCAGGAATTAGCCGAGGTACACAAACTGACAATTTAATATACAGATTCATCAAAATAACTAAAGCAATTAACACTTACTGAAGAGGCACTTAGTCCTCACAACGAAGAAAACTGCAACGGAAAATAAAATCTAGCGAAGCTCCGGCTCCACTCCCACAGGCAGCTCAACTGGCGTATAAGCCAAACGTCTTCTCCTTCTGGATCCTTTTTCTTCAACTGAGGTTTGATTGATTATTGCAAGGTGGGTATATGGAATACTCCGCAAGCCACACATCAAATATGCAAGTGCACAAGGATACCAAAAGATGGCATAATATAGGCTCATTTGCAAAAGTAGCATTTAGCAAACATTTAAGAGTAGTAAAACAATAGAGTAATTAATCATCAATTTTAATCAACACTGCACAACACCCCAATGCTGCACAGGCCCAACCATCCTGAACAATCATACCCAGCTATACAGATTTAACTCCAAACCAGGAGCTAAGAAAATTATTACCAATTACAGCATCAATAATTATTGTGAGAGGTGTGAGACTAATCACAAAAAACATTGCTCAACCCGCCCATGACCGCTGGCACGGCTATTCGAATAGTTTTACTCTGGCCAGAGGTGTACCACTGTACCCACAAGACACAGCCTCAACATCATGTCTACCATGCGTCACGATACTGGAAAGTACCCGAATAGAGGCTGTAACAATACCCTCTGCACAACACAACTCACCACAGTGCACCGTTCCTGGATCATAATCACCCCCTTAATAACTAGAGGCATGGACTCCCCAGCGACCCCTATGGACTTCTCGCCGCTTCTCAGTCTGGCACCCCGTAATAAACCATGTTGTACAGAAGATATAGCCGTTGCCCACGCTGGCTTGTGGTTGGCACGGTTAATGTCTCACAACAGTAGCTCGCGAACCGGTCCTTAATTGTCACTAGTGAACGTGCACGTGCAAGGCACGTTATCGTAATATGTATTATTGCAAATAAAAAAATATCAATTATTAAGTGATAGTTACAAAATAACTTATCCCTTCTATAAAAAAAATGCAATTGTAGAACAATGTTGTCGCCTTAGCATTCTGCAACCAACAAATTAATGTTTCATGACTCTATTGGATACATGTGAGATCCCTAGCCCCTAGCTAGATATGTGAAGTAAAAGCATGTAGGGTTTCTTTCATAAACAACACAAGGGAAAAGAAATCAGATTTGATCTTTATGAGCTTTCATCTTGTCAAATTCAGTGTCCTATACTCTCATTTGATCATACAAGATTATGTAAGATTTCTTTCATAAAAAACAAAAGGAAAACAAAATCAGATTTGATCCTTATGGGCTTTCACCTTGTTAAATTCAGTGTCCTATACTTCAAAATGGTATCTTTTTGCTGCCTAAAGCAAATCCTGATGCACATTCCAGTTCTTGAAAATGTCGCAAATATATGTAACTTATGATTTTTTTTTCAAAAGGGAAAAAGTCAGTATCAACATTTGCTTTAGACTTACGATGCTATTGTCATTATGATCATCATGATTCCTGGTGTTTTTAGGAAAAATAAACACAGTATAATGATCTAGATTTACCTACAAAATATCAGCATCCATATAGAAAAATAAATGTATAGTTGGATCATGTCATCCTGCAGTTATAGAACCAATTGGGCAATTTATCAAACTTGGGAAGCACGAATAAGAGAGCATATTTATATGCTTTTTAGTGCATGTACAATTCATACAACAGAAGTTAAACAGCATTATATTTGCCAATATATTCTTGAGAAGTTAAATACATTTCCTTTGTAGCTAGAAGTGCTAATCTCGTCCCTTTCCTATGTGGTCTTTCTCATAAAGACTCACCAGAGATGGTTGCAGCAGTGATTATTCTAAACTTATGTCATCTTACCAGGATTCCGATCCAGCAAGCTCATTTTTGCCACATAATTCCTCATATTTGAGCTCCCTTTGGTGCATCTGCTTGTTGCCCTCCAAACCTATGGCTAGAGGAGCCACCATCCCGAGGGTCCTAGCTAGTTAGATTTTCGTTCTGTGAAACAAAAATTACCAGAGAGCATCATCATATGCTGAATTTGATAGTAGTTCGCAGCCCATCCATGATTAACAATGTATATCAGCATCGAAGGGATTCACCCAAAACTGGCCAAGATGAAAAGAACAAAAAGCTTGCATTACCATCTTCCGAGGACGCGAAGGCAGCAGTCATCATCCTCGTGGTGGTGGCGATTGCGCGACGGCAAGGTAATTGTAAGGTAGCTGCTGCTCCTCGCTGGAGTAGCCCTTATACCCCGAAGGAGAATGGTTTGGCAACAAGAACCTGAATCAATCAGGGAGTCAGGCAAAATTTCAACAACATTTCTGCACTGTCAGATGTGCTTCCAAATCGGTTCAGCTGACGCCACCTCACTGGCCCGGTCGCCTCATTACATGGAGGATCACCGCAGTAGGGGATGTCTTGCGTGAGGAGGATCAGCGCTGCCTGGGTAGCCTTGTCATGGGTAGGATAGTCGCTACCAGGATCACCATGTATATAACAATCGAAAAGTTACCTCGATATTGGCCTTTGTTACAGTGTCCTCTTCTCTCCTCCAAAAAAAAAATCAAGTATATCGAAAGTAATGAAAAAAATGCATAAAGATTTTGTTCATTTAAATTAACTAATAGAATGTGCATTCAAGGGAAAACCTATTTTCTAAATATCATGCCAACCTAAGCCATCAACCTTTTAGAGGATCCATCAATTTATAATAAAGGTTTACCGTCCAAAACATGGAATATTTCATAGTCTAGAATTTAATTCAACAAAATATGAACTATGTATAAATTTAATTACCGAGCAGTGGCATCATAACTGGCAACTGCAACAACTAAACATAATAATTCCGTTAAAAAGGTGAATATGACACGTAAGTGCAACAACTAAACATAACTACCATTCTACAAAGGGTCTATAACAGTGCATGCTAACCTCTACTGATTAAACAAAAGAATTTAACCACAAGCACCCCCATTATTTGCAACAGAGAATACTGCAATAAGTAGGTGTGCATTTGTACCTCAGATTAAGAGCATTGCTGATCTGCTGATCTTCACTAAAATGAATGTCACAAATCATACTCTTTAAACACCTCTCAATTGCTGTCAAAAACTTAACATCAGAATTCAGAAGTAGGTTGTCTTGAATACAAATCTACCTTCTACATATATTCATGATGGAACAGACTGGAGTTGCAAAATAAAAAATAGAGTTTTCATCATTAGAATTGGCTATCTAATAGAAACGTAAGACAAAAACAATCATGCAATGCTTGACTTTATGTTCAGATATATCTAGGATGTGCATTGAAGAAAAATGGAAGAAGAGATGGTCCATGAAAATGTTACACTTGCACATATGATGTATTGTTCTCTAACTCTCTGTACAGAGCAAATGAAATGATCCCTGTTTGTGGAATTATTAAAAAGCTGAAATCGACTACTACCTGAAGGAACAATGCACTGGAGTAAATAAACTATGAGTTACTTTGATCTTCTAATAAGTACACGGTGGGTCACATTGCAGAATCAGGGTTATGAAACACTTACGTAAACTTGGAAACAACCTTAGTACGATAAACATGAAGATATCAATATAATGAAAAACATATAGAAAATTTGCATCATAAAGATATATATGTTGTAATGTTGATGGACATAAGCACTATAACAAAATTACTGACTCCTAGCCAATTATATATGCTTGCTCTCCAAATCAACATCTGACCTATCCAGAAAATATTTTGATTGCATATAATTAGCCACGATCAACATCTGACCTATGAAGAAAATATTATGTGTTGCATATAATGGGTGTTCCTACCAAAATATGCACAATGATTAAAATAACAGATGGAACAAATTGTTTGAAGGCATATTCACAAACACATGGTAAGCATGTCCTGGAACTGATGCTCACAAGTACATGTTCTTTGATGAAGCTGCTGATATGGAGCACGATCTGCATTGTCATCCATCACATAAGGAAAATCAGGTTGCAGTGGAGGAGCATGACAACAGGCGGTAGAGACAGAGTGATGGGTAATGGGTACGGCGAGGCATGACTGCACAGTGGGCAGCCGCGCAGCAGCAGTGCTCTAATCGGTCCTCCACGCCCGGAGCGATGCCCAAATCAAACCACCCGATGAGCATGACATGGCAAGGGAGGCAACCAAAGCCCTGCAAGAGAGGCTTCTATCCATCATTGTCCGACAACGGTGGTTCTAGTGGCGGCGGAGTTGCTGCCGGACCCGGCGGCTGAGGAGGAGGGCTCCGACGTGATGAAGACCGGGAGACGCGACGGATCGACGATGCGGCGGTGTGATTTGTCGAGGGATCGGGGTCGAGAGGTGTCGACGCAGGTTTTCTTCCAGTATCCGATCGGCGGAGCTCCGGCGTGGATGACGGCGGCGGCGTGGATGTGTGCGCTGGCAGTGGAGGCGGCAAGGAGCAGATCGGCTCGGACCTAGCGATGGGAGGGCTTCTGGCGGCGGGGATCGGTGGAGGGCGAGCCGACGTGATGGAGACAGGGAGGCGATGGGCGACGAACAGCGGCGATGAGGGCGAGCAGGAGCGGCGGTCGGCGGCGATGCACCGCGACAAAGAAGAGGGGGCGCGGTGATGGGGCGGCGGGGCGGCGCGGTGTGGGACGAGAGGAGGCGGATCGCGGGCGTGGTTTCTTCGTGGCGGATGACAGGTGGGTCCCACGCGAAAATTGGATCCGGCGCTAATTGCAATCGCGGTGTTAATTACAGTAAACAACGCTTTTTATATTAGTCTAGATTGATGAGCACGACCTTCAAAACCATCTGCTCACAACACACCATCGTCAAATTTTAGTTGGCAAATAGTTAATTAACCAATCACGATTGACCATCGTGAACTACCACTAATAAATATAACCATAAATAATAATGTAGTATGATTCATCCCATTAATGTTTCTAAGTATGGCTAAACAATTATATGTATATAGCATTTAGCTGAACCAAACCAATATATAAGGTTCAAGCTAATCAGTTTATTACCCGAGGTATCAAGGAATAGAGTATTCAATGCAAATTGGCCATAACAAATGAATATGTTCACACGATCCGGTGACATTTGAAAATAAATGCACAGTTGAAATGAATAGAAAATTTAAATATAGGATCAACATGCTCAAAGGATTATGTTTGGGATCTGTGTGACTTGCCTTGCAATAATCGGTCTTCAATTAATCTTCTTGAACACTTCCGACGCACTCACGAACCTTTGAAACGACAAACTAACAAGCAAAACGAAAAAAAAGACTAATAAAAACCAAATAAACAGTACATAAAAAGTAAACAAACATGTAGATCATGATTTTAGATGAATTTAGCAACTTGAACACTTCATATGAATTAGTTATAAATTTTACAAGATTAAACTGATTTTTGCATTATACAGAAAAGGATTACGAATTATTTTAGAAAAGAAAAAGGCTTTATGACGTCACTGATGACATCATCGCCGGCGGCTTGGGCTCCTTTGGTCGCCGGCGAACTAGGGTACGACGGCGCAAATCGAGGGCACCAACGCGACGAGCACGACGCGGGGAACTCACTGAGGAGCAGCACGACGGCGAACGACGACGGGAGACGACCAGCAACGAGCTCTGAAGGCGGCGAGGTACTGGTCGTGGTCGACAGTGACGACTACTTTCCGGCAACGAGCGGCGGCAACAGAGGGGTGTACGGGGTTCTCCTCGCTGCTGCGAATCCATTGAAGGTGACGGCGGCCGAAGGCGACGACGGGAGGTGCAGCAGGGCCTCGCCGGAGATCAAAACGTGACGGCGAACTTCGGGTTAACGGCGACGATGGAGCTCCGGTGGATTTCGGCCTCTGGGAAGTGGAGGCCGGTCTTCTTCTCCTTCTTGCGAACCCAACGGCGGCAACGGCGACCGAATACGACGATGGACGGCGACGGACGGAGCGGCTGGAGATCAAAACACAGTGGCAACCCACTGGTTCACGGCGACGGGCAACCTCCGGTGGAACTCGGCACAAAAGAACCGGCGGCCGGGGTAGAGCTCGACTTTGCGAAGCCGATGGTGGTGGCGGCGCGGGAGGACGTCGAGGCGGCGAGTAAGGGCGACTGGAGCGGCAGCCGACGCTTGGAGAGAGAAGGCGGCTGCGGGGAGAGACGGCTAGGGCACGGGAGCTCGAGCTAGGAATTGGAAACGAGAGAGGAGGGATTGGGGGTTCTATTTATAGCCACGGGAGAGAGATCGGGCTTGGAACGCAAGGAATCGCGCCGGGAAAACCTAGGGTTTGGAGGAGAGATAAACTCGAAATCGAATCCAAATTTGCGTCGAATTCAAAGGGATAAAACCAGATTTTTGGGGCAAGAGATAGAGGAGGTTAAGGGAAATATTTTCCCTCAACTAATTTTGGAAATACACGAGAGAGGAGGCCGGATTTGTAGGAGAAAACGGCGTCGGCTTCAGTGCAGAAGCATTGCACGGGCTCTGTCTGGAGCTGGAAGATGAACAGTACCCGGGGAGGTCAAGAAGACTTCCGGCTGGGCTTCTTTTACTCAGGACTCAGCCCGATTGAAGAATTTTTTTCGGATTTAGATTTTTTTTTAATATTTACAGAAATAATCTATCGACCAAAAAAATTACAGAAATAGCCCCTGCCGCCCACCTCTGGGGCGGCAAGCTGACGTGGCAAACGGGGGAGGAACGGGCGGTGACGGAGGGAGGGTTTTTTGCAGGAAAACCCTTGCCGCCCTCTGGTGGGGCGGCAAGGGGCCCGAATGCAAAAAAGCCAGTCGAGGCCGGCTATTTTGCAGGCGGCCCCTTCCTATAAAAGGCCTGCTGCCCAGCCCCCAGCCCTCATTCTTCTCTCCTCAATTCCAGTGAAAAAAAAAGAAGAGAGGGGAGGAGAAGAGAAGAAGGGGCGAAGCCCTGCCGGATTCAGACGCCGATTTCAGGTAATATTCATAGATCCTATATGTGACTGAGTTAAATAGTGTGTATTCTTTAAAAATTTGTTTGAATAAATGCATTATATTTTTAGGGTTTTAGTTGTACTAATCTAGAAGTGCGTATTGTAGATATCGGTAACTACGTAGATCTGCTAGTTTGGAATTAATACATTACCGTTGCATTGGCTTACACAAGAAGATATTACGTTGTAGATGTTTATTGCATGAAAGAGTAATATGATCTAGTTATTTCGTTGACAGATATGTCGAACAAACAAATATTCCAAGTTTACCATGGACCAGGAAAAGTCCGTTACGGGCCAACTGGGGTAGATCTGTCAGATTTTATTGTATCAGAAAGGGGAATTGAGAGACCGGCTGAGAGGAGTGTACCTTCTATAAAAGGATGGTTAATGAGGGGCTTGAGAGTTGATCCACAGACAAGTGACATAACAATCAATGTTATAGTAAGTCGGGCAACTGAGGGTTTTTATTGGGAACTAATGCCAGTTCAAAACTCTCGAGTGTGGAGATGGTATTTGGAAAATGCATTGCAACGCGGGTGGCCTCTAGCTTTGGTTCCGTTTGTTCACCCGAAGGATCCAGGTGTGCAGACGAACATGGATGATGGCGAGGGACTAAGTGCTGAAGTAAACGAGACTTCTGTGGAGGAGGTCAACGCACGAGAGGACGGTGGCGTAGTAGCTCCAGTGGGCATTCAACCAGGTGGAGTGGCTGACGAGGGGGAGACTTGGGACGCCATTGTGGATGAAATGGAGAGGGAGGATTCTGACAACGAGCGTGTAGAGGAAGGTGATTCGTCAGATGATGAGACGGATATTAATCCAGCAGAATGGGCTAGTGAGGATTTTTCTGGGCTGATCGTCTCTGAAGAGGATAGTGTGAGATGGGAGTACAAAGAAAATGAGGTTATTCAGGGAGCGATTTATAGTAGAGCATAAGATATGAAGGAGGCGGTAAAACATTTTGCAGTGTCACTTCATAGAGAGTTTTGGGTTGCCAAGTCGAACCGGTCGTGACGGAGCTTGGGGCTCTTCACCGGGAGACCGCGCAGGCCCCTCTTTGCCGGTTCGGCCGGGGGCTCTGGGTGAGGTTCTAAGCTCTTGGTC